CCTGTGAAATGCTACCTTCAGCGATGTCGATGGCTTCCACAGTAGCCTTGTTTTGTCAACGGAGGACAGAAAGACAAACGCTTAGCATGGCGAGTGTTGGATGGGCACATCGGCTTGTCCTGATAGGTTCGGAATGCAGCACGAGGCTAAGGAGGGGAGACATGGGGAGATGGTGGGCTTTGTTTGCACACCCACGGTCTGCGGTGACCAAAGAAGTGAGGCGGCCAACGCAGAGGCTGTGACTGTCTTCTATATCCCTGCTCTCAGCTTTCCTTGTAGTCAATCTCATCGTCCTCAACTGGCCCGTTTTTGACCACTTTGTGCAGCAGATGTGTTCATTGTAGCGATCCTGTCACTGATTTGTCAACTTTCGGTTCATAACACTAAATCGCATCCCACGCATATGGCTTCGCGGAAGGTGGACTGAAACGTGCGATGGAGAAACGCTGCCTCCGTGGAAGCCCAGTCATTGTCAAAGTGCAAGTTAAATAATGTTGTGTTCGTGTGCGAACACGGCGGCATCGAATCGCCAGAGTCGTGTATGCGGTTGAGTGACGGCTTTGCCCGTTGCTGCTAAACGCACGTTACAGGGGGTTGACGGCGCATGTCGAATGACAGCGCTGAGGTCATAGGCAGACAACGTTGTGCTGGCAAACTGAGGACAATCTGCATCCACCACGGCAGCACACACGTGGCTTGAACATGCAGCTGCCGTATTGTGCGTGCAACGCCACCATCTGCCTGCTTATCAGCACCAATTGATTGAAAATACTGCTGCGAAAAGGCTGGAATGAATGCAAACTCGGTTGATATGAAATGTGTGCAAGAAAGTGTCTTGCAGCCGGAGGAGGCAGCACGAGGCGGTGGTAGAGGTGGTCGAAGGAAAAACTTGCTTTACTGCTTTATAAGGTGCCTCATACCCGATAATGCGAGGCACACGGTGGTTTGACGATTTGCATGTTGTGGTGGGTGCTGAATGTCAAGCGGCTAAACGGAATTTGCGTGGGGATTTGTTTACTGAGGGCATTCATGTCGACATTGTCGCAGCCTGTTGCATTTGTCGCACTTTAACAGTAGTGTTGTAGAGAATTTACTGCAAGTTGATGCAGCCCTGATTGCGAGGCAATCAACGCAACCCGCTTCGTGTGGAAGAAAGTAAAGCGATGGTGTTTTACTTGAATGCAACCTCTTCCATTGGTGCAGAGTACGTGCCACTTATTCCAGCATGACGCCAGCTTTAAGCGGGCAACAAGGTAATTCAAATATTGTCTTGACTATGCGGTTCTAAAAGCATCCTCTTAGTGATCGGATGGCCTTGCATGCAAAAGCCAAACTCAATCATAAACTCTCCATAATGTTTGTTTTTCTTGGTGTCTTATCGAAATTCACCAATTGCTTTGTCAACAACCTGTCTCTTGACATTCAACATCGAAATGAGGCGCTTGCAACGGATTCACTCTCCTGTTTGACGGGTTTATGCAGAATAATCCAACAGCGTGTGACGGTAGGGACCTCTCCAATGCCTGATTTTCCACATCATAAGGTGGTAGTCAATGTACTCACTGCACACTGGTGGTCAGTAGCACTGTGGTGATTTGAGGTGGCATGAAAACCGCTGACCCTTCTTGCCTCCTGTAACGGGGTGTCACTTCCTTTGCGCCGATTCTCCACACTCAGGATTTGTTCATCTGTTGCAAGTGTGTGCTCTCCGAGTTGTGCATCACCACATTACTGTCCATATTGATGAAGTGCAGGGAACTGAGGGATCCAGTTTGGCAAGATGAAGGAGCCATCATCAGGATGTGCATTGCGTGGCCCACCTTCGGGTGAGAGGAGATGTGGAGAAGTGCCGAAGCTGCGAAATCAGCACTAATTTGTCTGCCACCGCACAGTCAACGTGGGGCCTCAAGCACTACCGCCTGTTTGGTGGAATGAGTTACTCCAAAACAGGACGTGCCATCAGGTAAAACGCTTTTTCATCCCTGTAAAAGAGCTCAAGAGATAATGCTGTAATCGTTGGGGTGAGGACAAATTTGAGCAGTTTGGTTGCATGTTGTGCACCAGCGAACGCTGTCCAGCAAATGGCATAGTCCGCCTGCTAAATGAAGTGAGTGGATTTTTTGTCACAATGACAACTCCTTGTTCTTCGCTCAACGAAGAACACATTTGGAATGACTCATTTTAACGCAAGTACTTCAAAACATGAAAGATGAAGTACAGCAAAGATGTCGCTTGACCTGAATATTGTTGTCTGTGCAATCATGGCGATTGTTTTCGTCGTTATCCAGTGTACCTTACTCCCGTCACCCATCTCGAGGTACTAATCATCCCATATTTAGGTGCCTTGAGCAGAAGAGAAGAAGACGGCCTCTTAACAGAATGCCTGATAGAGCATCTTCCACTATTCCGAAGAAAATATTCTTTTTTGTGTAATCTGCAGGTGGACTGTGGCCTTCGAGTGCAGTTTGGTATGCAATGTGTAAACTGGAGGATCGCATTGTTTGTTTGCTTACATGGAAGGGGAATGTCTTAGGTACCTTTGTCTGACCTCTTCAGCTTGTACACTCACCATGGAGCAGGTGGTAGAGTAGGCTTGACCCTACCCACCCTCTCCCATCTGCATAGTATGGAAAGCGCGCTTCCTTCAGCATCTCACTCATGCTTTTCTCTTTTGTGCTGTGTTGTGGATAACGCGTGATATGCTGAAGGTGCTCAATCTATCACTATGTTGTAATTGCCGAGTATTGTTACATGTGAAGAGGAAAAACTAGACACTTCTTTATCTGTAGACCTGAGTGTTGGTGGAAATTTCCCTCTTTCCTCGGCTTCTTTCCACCTTAAGTAACACTTCAGTCCAAAAAACATCATTGGAACTTGCCGCATTGCTGTAACGGCGACAAAGTTATTCGTGACTGCTAGGATGGAGGCATCTTTTATCCTCCAATGCCTCAGTCCACTTGCTGACCGGTGCATCCTTGCAGCCCCCAGCACATCCACGTCTAGGTGGCCGAAGACGTCGAGAAATGCCAAGAAGCAGTTGAGCGCCACTGTGTCATAATGCCGCACCAACATCTGTCGGTGTCGGTGAGGTAAACGTGTTGACGATTGACAGTAGTTTGGGAGGAAGTGGATTCGAACAAGCATTGGAATGAAGAACACTCAAAGGGCTCCAAACACGCATCCCATGGTCGTGTGGGCCTGTGAAAGTATCGTAAGGTAGATATTTACGCAAAGGTTGTTCTACCTCACTGGTTTAGGAAATAAGGCTAAAATAATGCTGAAGGGGATGCGTTGACGCACAGGGTTCACTGCGAATTCACTAGATAGAAGGGCAGTGGAAGGAAAAGAGGAATGTTCAGGATGAGAAGGAGGAGGAGTTGGAGGAGGAGGAGGAGGAGGAAAGGATGACAAAGACAACTAGGAGGAGGCTGATAACCGTTCTCACTTGCCACAATTCTACGACACAATAACTTTCAAGTCCTAACAATGCATTGCCATGTGTCGACTGCAACGTCAAGATGAAGCCGAGCTGCATCAGGTTTGGTCTAAAAGGAGGAACTCAATCAAGATAGAGTTCAAAAGCACAATTTATTCACGTGCTTGCTTGAAGGCAACATCAAGGGCAGCTGTAGACAGGCAGATGTCGCAGAAGTGAGGCGGAGTGAGAAAAGGTGAATGGTGAATTAGGTACAATGTATTCCCTAGCAAAACTGCCCCTCCACATCGTGGCAGTGGGAGCTGGTTGAGCAGGCTGTGGATTAGCACCGCAAACACAACGCATACAGCCTCGACGCTCGGCGGGGATGACATATTGTGGCACAAAATACAGAGGTGTTGAAAAGGGGCGGAAGTGAAGCGGTAGGCGAGATTGTGAGAAGATGGCGATGGAGGTGGGGAAGGAAGAAAGCAAACTGCAAGCTTGAAAACACTGTGACAGCTCAGTTTCCTTATTTTTCACGGATTGGTAGAGGGTGTGGCGTCTCCACCAGCGAGGTGGGATGTTCGTTGGCATGTACAATGCGTTCCGGTGGGCAGTGTTGTAAATCACCACTACCGATGCCGAATCGGACAGGCAAGGCAGTAGTTTGCAGTCCGACAACCTCTGGGAGCATCCGTCTGCTCTGAATTTTGCCTTTCCCTGGATCATCTATGAGGAGGGAGTCAAAGGCCTCACACGCGTGGGAGGGTGTTTGCTCAGCGTATTCTTACATTGGCAACAATGTAATTGAGTAGTATTGATGAGTCGTTCGTAAATTTGCATTTGCTCTTCCTTTTGGTCACATCGCTATGTGATTTACATCCCAATCACTACACAGAGACCGGTATTGGCAGTCACAATGTCCGAGCCTTAACCGATGTTTCGTTAGTAAGTTTCCCATATCCACAACTGTCTTCAAGCAGTAGTATGCATTTGTCTCTTTCTGATTACACCCACAAGGCATCAGGCTGATGTCATAATTCCACCGGGTTGTGAACCCAAGTTCATTCATTGCGTTGCGCGTGTCTAAGTCACCTCCACGATGCACCAGCACTCCAACACTGCTTTTCTTTTCAACAGGTCTATGATGTGAGCTAAGAGAAAGCAGCTCGAACACTTCGGTCGCCTGATGCCTTCTCCTTCCCTTGAGTACCTCTGGATGCACCATTTCGATGGGTGGTTATAACTCCTTGAATAGCGTCCTTGTGAGTGGAACCATTGCCAGAAGCGAGCGAGAAGCGAGAAGCTTGCGAGAAGCAAGCTACCTAGCCAACCAGTTAGCTGCAGTGGTGTTAACGATGAGTTGAAAGCGGTCCAGAGAGGGTGCACAAAGCAGAGACAAGACAAAATCATGTGCATGAGGTTGACTAAGGCGCTGTCTGGTGGAATGAGGACGAATTGGAAGGAAGTGGAGGAGAGCAGTGAGGGCAATAAGGCGAACCGGACAGACGGACTGATGCATGTATGCCTGCTGTGTGGTGAAATCAGGCAGGCGATCTTGACGCATTTCGGATGTAATGTTTTAAGGTTAATAATAATAAATGCTTGGGAATGGTGACCTTTGGAGAACTTACGCCTCAAGCAAAAGAACATGCACGGTGCTCAGGTGGTACACATGCTGTTGGTGAAAGGAAAGATCGCATTGTCCTGTGGTCTCATTTCTCCGCTATCGCCGGTTGAGATCGCACTGTCACTTCTGCAAACACAAACAAACAAGAGCTCATAACAGTGAAGTCGTCCAGAAATGTTGCCAGTCAGTGTACGAGGCCACACTGCTTGCGTGCGTTAACACCTAGTAGCACATTTCAGGTGCCATTAAATGAATGAGATGAGTGGCTTTGGAGGCGGCAGTAAAGTGGGCGAATTCCTTGTTATGCTCAACAGCACAGAGTCAGTAGACCTGCAAGCTGATGTGCTCATGAACGACGAGTTTTGCGCGCTGTTTCAAGCTACGTATCACCGTGCGGAAAGGCAGTGTCGGATTAATTGCAGCAGTAAGCGACATCTCAATTTCTCTC